ATATTTATAAATATCTTATTTTCAGCAGTAAATCTCCATATTTGTAAATATCTTATTTTCAGCAGTAAATCTCCATATTTATAAATATCTTATTTTTAGCATGTAATCTCCATATTTATAAATATCTTATTTTCAGCAGTAAATCTCCATATTTGTAAATATCTTATTTTTAGCATGTAATCTCCATATTTTTAAATATCTTATTTTTAGCATGTAATCTCCAAATTTTTAAATATCTTATTTTTAGCAGTAAATCTCCATATTTGTAAATATCTTATTTTCAGCAGTAAATCTCCATATTTATAAATATCTTATTTTTAGCATGTAATCTCCTTATTTATAAACATCTTTTATTTTTAGATATATTTGCATAGGAAAGGGATTGATAATCTAATTTCTTAAGAAAAATATATGTTAACAGGGAATTTGCATTGGAAATGTTTTATTTAATAGTTCTATTTTCAAATCGCCATGTTTGGTATGTCAAAAATCCTTTTGCGTGGTTTAAAAATATTTACATGCAATATTCTTCCTCATATTACAAATTATCACTAAATATGTTTCTTTAACGTGCAATTTCTGTTTCTTTAGTATTCCTAAAAAATGTCGTCCTAACCATAATGTGTAGAATTTTCGAAACGATTTTTTTCTATATATATACCCTCAAATCGAAAATCGATAATGCAGAGAAACTCTTTATTTCCTAAAAATATGAAATGGATAATAATCATATATTGTTACAAAGTTTTAAAATTTATAATGAAAAGATTCTTACGATCTATTTATTGATAAGAAGGTTAAACTGTCGGGGAGTCCTAAGACGTTTTTATATATTAAAACTTCTGAAAAGAATGGCAATTAATTGTTGACGAAAGTCACTAATTCTTTATATGAAAATATTTTGTTCACAATAATAAAAGTGTTTAGACTCCGTTACCGGAGAACAAAGAAAATGGGGCGAAAATTATTTGGTTTGGTGTCTCCGAGAGGGGATTTTAAGTTAAAGACGACATTATATGGATGGGCGGGGGCCTTGTAGTTAATAGTTGACAAATATCTAGTATGTAACACAATTGTAAACCGATAAAAGAAACGGAAAATTTAAATATTTAGTTTTAAAAAAGATATATACATAGATGATAGATAGATAGAAAGAAAGAAAGAAAGAAATATAGATATATAGATGGATAGATAGATAGATAGATAGATAGATAGATAGATAGATGGGAGTATCCTCGTATACTAGAATATTAAGATTATCAACCTTTTGTAGTTCTCTAGTAATGATGACTTTAATTTATATTTTAACAGAGAATTAGACAGACAGATAACTGGACATACAAACGGACAAACATTTACATAGACAGACAATTGGACATCCAGACAATTCGACAGAAAGACAGTACGCTAGACATGCAGTCACTTGACCGACAACTGGAATTACAAACAGACATTTACCCAACTAATGTGCCCAAACTTAGATAAACAGACCACTCGACATTAATATAGACACTTAGACGGACAAACAACTAAAAGAACCGACAATTAGACAGACAGAACACTCGATAACAGACACCTATAGGCAGGCAGACAATTCGATAACAGACACAAATAAACACGCAGCCAATGCGATATTAGACACCCAGACAGACGGACAACTCGATAACAGAGACTTATAGACACTAAGACAACTTGATAATAGACACATAAATGAACGGAGAACTAGACATAGAGCCACATAAGAAAGGACACAGCTAGACATGCAGACATTTAAGTAAAGCGCAGAGAGGTAGACATTAGGGTTGCTCGATTTTGGAACCAAGCTTCCCCCTCTTCCGTTTTGGGGGGGGGGGGTCAATTTGACCCCCTCCCTGTATTTTTTTTTTACATAACTCAAAAAGTATTGGTCTGAGGCTGTTGAAATTTTCTGACTTTTCCTACATACCCAAAGCCCTCCCTTTAGGCCTAAAACCGGGCTTTAATACTAGCTGCTTGAGTCCAAAGACACACTGCCTGAATGACTGCTTTTTCCTGTAACAAACTAAATCTTTGTTTTGACCCACTTCCACTTGTCAGATTTTGATAAAATTCAGCTTTTTGGAAAGCCTTTGACATAAGGAAACGAATTGCACAAGTTTTGCGAAAAAAAATTGCAACTTTTTTGCAAACAACCTGTCAAAGGAAATTTGCACATTTTTAGTTTTTCTTGATTAAAAATCAGGTTATTTAAAATTTTGCAACATTTTTTGCATATTTGAAATGGCATGGTGAAGGGCTTTTCAAAAATGTATAATTTTTAATTTTTTGGAAAATTTTTTTTTTGCAAACATTTTTACTATATAACTGGATTTTGCGGTAAAAATTCAATTTTTGCAAATTTGCAAATTTTTTTGCAGATTCTAAAAGTAGAGCACAAGAGCTTTCTAATGATGTATCATTTGTCATATTTGGACATCAAACATGGGATTTAGAGGGGGGGCAAATTGACCCCCCCCCAGCATATCCTGGTTTTCAATTACCACAGCAGAGATAGGGTTAAGGCGCGCCATAGTGATGTATCTACCGCCTAAGAACTTCTAAGAACTTCAGAAAAAAAATTAAATTAGTTTTTTTTAAATGGTGAGCTGAGCTTCATTTAAAGAAAATGATAGAACAAAAAAATCAGTTAAAGGACAAAAACAAAAAAATTCTTGAAAATATATCAATATTCGATTCAAAAGATGTATGGCAAGTCGCTGAAACTGTTCACATTTAAATTTTTTGATAAATTTTGAAATTTTGATTTTATTTTGACCTGTCTGACTTGTGACTTTTTAAATCTTTTTTATCTTAAAATAGCTCTCAGCCATTTTTTATTTTTGATAACATTTTCTGTTAAGTTTTTAGAATATTTACGGGCATATATCCCGCACACACGCTAAGATCTAAGGGAGAAAAAGTAAAAAAATATTTTGTCCAAAAAAATTGTTATTTTTTTTAATCCTCGATCTGACTAAGGTTCAAAGGGTGCCGTTGTGACCGGACATGTCACTTTACAATCTGTAGGTCCAGTCTTTGTTGTATTTTCGGCGGATTATTAGACCTTTAAGATAAAAAATTATCATATTTGAGATAAGACAAAGCTAGATAAAACTGGAGAGTCAGTATTCACACTTTTTCCAGTTTATCTCAGAAAACTTGATTTTTATAATAGGAGCTTTAGGGAGCTTCGCGTCCATCTTCTACTTCAACTTTTAAATCAGCATCTTCTCTTTTTACAATATACAACAATAACATAAAACATTTTATAAACGGATTTTATAATTTTTTTCTGCATTTATTTAATTTACCAAAAATCAAAAACATTTGGATACAAATTATTGAGGATCCATAAACCTTCCCTGAGGTTATGTGAGGTCCCACACAAATTTTTAACCCGATCAGTTCAGCCGTTTTGACTTTTTTTTGGATACACACGGACAGATAAGCAACGTATTAAAAACTAGGCTTTCCGGGCGCTTCGCGCCCAAATTCCATTAAAACTGTGAACATTTTCTCTTCTTATATATTGTAAAACAAACACAAAATTTATTGTGGATTTTCAAATTTAATGGGAATCGAATTTTGTTGGAGGTTAATTTTTAAAATCACTCACATAAACCTTTCCTGGGGGGTTATCCCACGCAAAACTTGGGCCAGATCGGTTTGGCAGTTTTGACGTTTATTGGATACAAAGAAACAGACAAGCAAAGTATATATATTAATAGATAGAAGATAGATAAATCTAAATGAATGACAACCCATGTATTAAGCTTTTAACCTAACTATTTTTTTATTATAAAAATTATAAAATGTTTATTTTTATTTTATATAAATTAGACATTTAAAAGTGGTTCATTTACATTTACCATGATATTTTTTCTTCTGCTTTTAACCAGGTAAAATAAGATTTTATTTTGTTGACGTTTTATCTCTTTTATCTTTATTTTCTTTAAAATATTCAGTTTTCTTTTTTACTAGAATTGATTTTACAATTGTTACCAGTGTCTCCCACAACAATATAAAAAGTTTGATAAATGCATGCTGCACTTAAGAATTATATCTTTCTTTTGTCAGTGAACTTTTTGTTATTTAGTTTCAAAATCAGGGAATTTAATGAATTTGAGCTAGTTCACTGAACCACCTACCGCCCATTCAAATATGTATTTGAACTCCCGCAATGTATCATATAAAGGGGCAAAGACAAATCCTGAATTACCGATTCAAGATACATGGTTGAACCAAGGCTTTATAGACCTGGCTCAAATTAGTTAAATGAAATGACTATTTTCTAAAAATTTATCATCACAAATTTGATAATCAAGTTTTTTTACTTTGATAATAATCAATTTTAGAAAATAATAAATTTTGTTTTAATTTGATGACAACACTAAAATATTAAAGCGAATTTAAAGGGAGTGCTCGCGAAAAATGACAGGGGGTATAGGTTGACGTTAAATTGAATTCGATATGGATCGTTCCAAATTTTACTTCCATCTGTTGCGTCTATAAGGAGTAAATTCAGTTTGATCAACCTATACCCTTAATTCATTTTGACTCCCCCCCCCCTGTAGTTTTTATTACATAACTCAAAAAGTATTGGTCTGAGGCTGTTGAAATTTTCTGACTTTTCCTACATACCCAAAGCCCTCCCTTTAGGCCTAAAACCGGGCAACTAACTGCCTGAGTCCTAAGGCACACTGCCTGAATGACTGCTTTTTCCTGTAACAAACTAAATCTTTGTTTTGACCCACTTCCACTTGTCAGATTTTGATAAAATCTAGCTTTTTGGAAAGCCTTTGACATAAGGAAACAAATTACACAAGTTTTGCGAAAAAAATTGCAAATTTTTTGCAAACAACCTGTCAAAGGAAATTTGCCCATTTTAGTTTTACTTGATTAGAAATCAGGTTATTTAAAATTTTGCAAAATTTTTTCCATATTTGAAATGGCATGGTCAAGGGCTTTTCAAAAATGTATAATTTTTATTTTTTTGGAAAATTTTATTTTTGCAAACATTTTTACTATATAACTGGATTTTGCGATAAAAAATTCAATTTATGCAAATTTACAATTTTTTTTGCAGATTCTAAAAGTAGAGCACAAGAGCTTTCCAATGATGTATCATTTGTCATATTTGGACATCAAACATGGGATTTAGAGGGGGGGGGGTCAAACCCCCAGCATATCCTGGTTTTCAAGTACCCCAACAGAGATAGGGTTAACACTCCCTTTAAATTTTATATTTGTTATTGAAGTAATTAACTTTTATTTGCTTGCAGTGGGGTGACAGCGAAGAATGGAAGGGTGTATCCTACGCCGGATGTGGATGTGACCCAGGGGTAAATTCAGAGAGATTCATAAAACATGAGTCTAAGAAGATACGGGGTGACCCACAAAGAATGAGACTTCAAAATATTTTCCTTGATAAATCATTAAACTATTATATTTAGGGGAAGAGACGATGGATTTGAGATTCCAACCGTCGTCTTAAAATAAATTTGGGTCGTTATTAAAGTCTCATGTTTTGTGGTTAATCCTGCAACATGTTTGTTAATAAATAATCTGAAATAGAACATTGAAGATCAATAATATTCTGAATATAGACTCTACGTCACCATTAACTTATTTGTTGCATTAACAATTTTTTTGTCTCAATTAAGACATACGTTTAACGCTATTTTTTAGAGCAAAACTTAAAAAGTTACACCACTTTGTTAAAAGAAATTATTGAAATCCATTTTTGAAAACACTTGTAATAATTGAGATTGTGTTTTTTAGATTGATTGGAAGAACTATCTACTTAGAATACGATGTTGCTGGATTTATAGGTTAGGATATACTTTACAATTTCGGCTAATCATGAAAAATCAAAAAAACAGCTATAAGCCCAATCTATATATTTTGTCAGAGCTCAGAAAAAAAACAGAATCCTCTATCTAAATATGGTTTTTGCGAACGAACAAATTTTTTAGAACGAACTTAACCCTATTACTGCTGGGGGGGGGGGGGGGCAAGTTAATCGCCCCTGTGTGTTTTATTACATAACTCAAAAAGTTTTGGTCTGAGGCTGTTGAAATTTTCTGACTTTTCCTACATACCCAAAGCCCTCCCTTTAGGCCTAAAACCGGGCTTTAATACTAACTGCCTGAGTCCTCAGGCACACTGCCTGGATGACTGTTTTTTCCTGTAACAAACTAAATCTTTGTTTTGACCCACTTTCTCTTGTCAGATTTTGATAAAATTTAGCTTTTTGGAAAGTCTTTGACATAAGGAAACGAATTGCACAAGTTTTGTGAAAAAAAATTGCAATTTTTTGCAAACAACCTGTCAAAGGAAATTTGCACATTTTTAGTTTTTCTTGATTAAAAATCAGGTTATTTAAAATTTTGCAAAAATTTTTGCATATTTGAAATGGCATGGTCAAGGGCTTTTCAAAAATGTATAATTTTTCATTTTTTGGACCAATTTTTTTTTGCAAACTTTTACTGTATAACTAGATTTTGCGATAAAAAATTAAATTTTTGCAAATTTGCTAATTATTTTGCAGATTCTAAAAGCAGAGCACAAGAGCTTTCCAATGATGTATCATTTTTCATATTTGGACATCAAACATGGGATTTAGAGGGGGGGGGGTCAAATTGACCCCCCTCCCAGCATATCCTGGTTTTCAAGTACCCCAGCATAGATAGGGTTAACTTTTCGTGAATGATGTTGTCCTTCTGAAAAAAACGAACGATGGACGAACAACTGGGATCTTTCACAGAAATGAAAAATCTTTAAATAAATAAAATAGTTTTTTTACTGAACTAACAAATTTTTCATATAAACTATTTGAAAGCTATTGTTTTTTTACTGAACGATCGTTCTTTCAAGTATATTTAATGGTTTAATAGCCACCAAACCATTTAAAAATTAAAGAAATTTCGTTTTTCTTTTGCTATTGTGCGCCCCCTGGTTTATATAGGTTTATGTAAAAATATCTATATATATAAAGTTCTAATCTCTGTTTGTCCGATCATAACTCAGGAACCCTTGGACAGATTTGCCTCAAATGTTGATTGTGGAACTCGGTAAAGGCACGGAAATGTGCCTAGTTTGAGTTTGAGATTATAAGTTGAGTGGGTCCAAAATAGCTAAAATTGTAATTTACGACAAAATGCGGGTAAACGGTGGGACTAACTATGATTCTCCTGGGCAACGCTGGGTTCCCAAACTAGTAATTGATACAAGTATTAAATAATTCAGGGTATTGGGTGGGGCACAATGAAACATATAATGGAACTCTGTATTCTATCCGGGAAGAACATCTGTTTGATCCTCAAGAGAGAGTCAGGGTTCAGGTAGCATTTTTAGTTCCATTTATCACCACTAGAGACCGTTGAAATTATGTATAATTTATGCAAACCTTACAATATATGCACAGATTTCACAAATTTTACCTGTATACGTTTTAAAGTTTATTTAACATCTTCAAAAGCCTAGTTAATGTAAACTTTTTATATTAAAACAAAATATTAATTTAACCATGATTCGTATTAATGGTTTATAATTTTTATAACATACTGGTTTTCATCCTAAGACATGTACAGGTTTAGTTGTGTTATCATTTCAACGTTGTACATTGATACAACTGGTTGATTCATGAAACTTTATGTACACTTATTGTACAGGTAGAAGATTGTGGGAATGGATATGCTTGTTTACGATCTAGATGGCGGGAATATGAAGATACATCAAGTAAGCAAATATCATTTACAGCACCATACAAACTGAAGGTCGTCTTCAATATTTTTTTTAATAAACTCTCAAATTAATTTAGTTAATATTCGAAAATGTTTATAATGAACTAAAACAATAAACACAATATACTGGCTGTTTCTTTACATTCATGATTCCCAGTTACTGAAACCTTGAATCTTTCTTTTTTAAATCAATAATTAAGACATTTAAAGGTCATGTTTAAAACAACAGACTGAATAATTAAAGAGTATCAGGTCGTCTTTACAGTCCTTCTTTTTGTGAGTAACCCTGTCTGTACTGTGTACATTGTACACTGCTGTACTGCTTACATTGAGCGATCTTTATGATAAGCTATAACTTGTAATGTACTGCAAATATTATAGGATGCTTCAGTGTTCAGAATTTTACTATACACTTAAAACACTTACACTGCATGTGTAGTAAACTGTACGGTTGTGAAAATATTTTAGGATGGTACATGAGCGAATTCCATGACACTGTACACTTTCCATTGTACAACTGTACACTTTACACTGTACACTCAAAACTGTACGGTACTGCAAATATTTTAGGATGATATATGAGTGATCTTCATGATACTGTACACTTTACACTGTAAACTCTAAACTGAACGGTACTGCAAATATTTTAGGATGGTACATGAGGTACATGATAAGCTATATTCTCTAAACTGTACAGTTTTGAAAATATTTAAGGATGGTACATGAGCGAATTCCATGACACTGTACACTTTCCACTGTACACTCTAAACTGTGCGGTAGTGCAAATATTTTAGGATGGTACATGAGTGGTATCCATGAAACTGTACACTTTACACTGTACAATTAAAACTGTACGGTACTGCAAATATTTTAGGATGGTACATGAGTGATCTTCATGATACTGTACACTTTACACTGTACACTAAAAACTGTACGGTACTGCAAATATTTTAGGATGGTACATGAGTGATCTTTATGATACTGTTCACTTTAAACTGTACACTCTAAACTGTACGGTACTGCAAATATTTTAGGATGGTACATGAGTGATCTTCATGATACTGTACACTTCAGAGAAGAGGAAAATCAAGGTAATTGATTAACCCAAAAGAGCCAGATTTTTACAATATTACTGTTTCAATTGATTGTACATAATATATCAAGTCTCCCTTTTTCATATTTTAACATTAACGTACCCTTTAAACAATGTGGAATATCTCGTCGTTAAATTGTGTCAATTTCCTTCATTGTATTTACAATGTAAATCCGCAAGTTACTTATAAAGAAAAACAAAAAGGTAACTATAACTTTTCGTGTAAAGAAACATGATAATATATCATTAACCTTGATCAAATGATTTAATGGCACTGTTGTAAATGGACCTTGCCATTTTTTAAAAAATATTTAAAATCATGTCTACAGTAGTCCCTTTAAGTCTTAATAATATGCAGCATCCAAGATAAAGTTGCAAAATCTAATTTGTTAGATTCACATGAAAAGTTCAAAGGTTCGCGGAACTTGTTTATTATCTTGCCTTCGTATTATCAGCATTTAGAAAATTCAAAGTTCTTCTTCAATATTTAAAAATATTATCTTCTTAAATATTTAAAAATATTATCTTCTTCATCAATATTTTTAAAAATATTATCTTCTTCAATATTTCAAGATATTATCTTCTTCAATATTTAAAGATATTATCTTCTTCAATATTTAAAAATATTATCTTCTTCAATATATAAAAATATTATCTTCTTCAATATATAAAAATATTATCTTTTTCAATATTTAAAAATACAAATATTTACAGTGTAGCATATCAGATTTACTACGGTATAATAAAATGAGTAAATGAAAATATTTCTTTAATCAGAGCTGAAAACTTTAGAAAGAGATATCCTTAATCCCGATTATTAATCCCGATTACTTAATCTGAGTATCCAATGGACACACTTTTGATTTTCTTCTTAAACCGTTCTTTCTTGGATAAAGGTGAGAAAAATCAAAAACCGATTTTTAAAATTTAGAGTGTCCCTCCTGTTTCTGTATATTTTCTGATTGGTTGAATTTTATACACTTTTCTAAATACAAGTACAAGATTAGGTTAGTCTCGATATTATGAAAAAGAGAGGATTAAGCATTAATCTCAATATCTACCATTCTAAAGTTTTTAGCCCAGAAGTAAAAACTTTTGTGAATCCTAGGATAAGGCACTGATTGAAACAGCTTGTGCAGATCTACACATTAGTTTTATTCCTCTTCGATATCCCATGAGTCATCAAGCAATGATCCTCCAATTAAAAGTGCTCTTGTTGGATATTGATATCAAGCTAACAAGACCCACAATATCTATACAAAAGTTCCAATCTCAGTTTTGAAACAAATTTGATTTCTAGATTACGTTTTTATAACATTATTTTTAAGCTGAATAGAATTCACAAATAATTCTTTTTTATTCAACACTTAATGAACAAATTATTTTTTTATTCAGCACTAAATGAACAAATTATTTTTTATTCAGCACTTAATGAGCAAATTATTTTTTTTATTCAGCACTTAATGAACAAATTATTTTTTTTTTCAGCACTTAATGAACGCATTATTATTTTATTCAGCACTTAATGAAAATTTTTTTTTTATTCAGCACTTAATGGACAAATTATTTTTTTTTATTTTGCACTTAATGAACAAATTATTTTTTTATTCAGGACTTAATGAACAAATTATTTTTTTTATTCAGCTTTTAATGAACAAAGATTTTTTTATTCAGCACTTAATGTACAAATTATTTTTTTTATTCAGCACTTAATGAACAAACTATGTTTATACTCAGCACTTAATGAACAAATTATTTTTTTATTCAGCACTTAATGGACAAATTATTGTTTTATTCAGCACTTAAGGAAAAAATTAATTTTTCATTCAGCACTTAATGAACAAATTATTGTTTTATTCAGCACTTAAGGAAAAAATTATTTTTTCATTCAGCACTTAATGAACAAATTATTTTTTTATTCAGCACTAAATGAACAAATTATTTTTTATTCAGCACTTAATGAGCAAATTATTTTTTTTCACTTAATGAGCAAATTATTTTTTTTTATTCAGCACTTAATGTACAAATTATTTTTTTATTCAGCACTTAATGGATAAATTATTCATTTATTCAGCATTTAAGGAGCAAATTAGTTTTTCATTCAGCACTTAATGAACAAATTATTTTTTTTATTCAGCACTTAATGAACAAATTATTTTTTTATTCAGCACTTAATGAACAAATTATTTTTTTTATTCTGCACTAAATGAACAAATTATTTTTTATTCAGCACTTAATGAGCAAATTATTTTTTTTATTCAGCATTTAATTAACAAATTATTTTTTTTATTCAGCACTTAATGAAAATTTTTTTTTATTCAGCACTTAGTGGACAAATTATTTTTTTATTTAGCACTTAATGAACAAATTATTTTTTTATTCAGGACTTAATTAACAAATTATTTTTTTATTCAGCTTTTAATGAACAAAGATTTTTTTATTCAGCACTTAATGTACAAATTATTTTTTTTATTCAGCACTTAATGAACAAACTATTTTTATACTCAGCACTCAATGAAAAAATTATTTTTTTATTCAGCACTTAATGGACAAATTATTGTTTTATTCAGCACTTAAGGAACAAATTATTTTTTCATTCAGCACTTATTGAACAAATTATTTTTTTTTATTCAGCACTTAATGATCAAATTATTTTTTTTATTCAGCACTTAATGAACAAATTATTTTTTTATTTAGCACTTAATGAACAAATTATTTTTTTATTCAGCACTAAATGAACAACTTATTTTTTTATTCAGCACTTAATGAACAAATTATTTTTTTATTCAGCACTTAATGAACAAATAATTATTTTATTCAGCACTTAATGAAAAAATTATTTTTTTATGCAACACTTAATGAACAAATCATTTTTTTGTTCAGCACTTAATGAACAAATTATTTTTTTATTCAGCACTTAATGATTACATGAAGTGGAGAGTTTACTGCACAGATGAAGAAAGACTAACTTTCTGTTATATTTGTGATTACTACTTCAGTTGGCTTTACGAGGAATAACAATTCAAACCATTCAATTCGTTTTAGAAAAGAGTCGTTTTTTTAATTTATAATACGAAGTTATAGTTTTTATTTATTTATTCTTTGCTTTGTTAACGAAACGTAAAGTCGTTTGTAATATTTCACCTGTTGTTTCAGTCAGCAGGAAGAAAAGCTCCTCACAATTATTTAATAACCCGGACAAACCGTGTACAAATTAATAATATTTTATAGACTAATTTGCTGTTTAGAGACATATTTCTTAAAAGAAATTATTTTATTCGTAGATTTCTTTAAAATGTCGTCTTTACAATTTAAAAAAAGAAAACCTCCAACAAGAGACTTTAGGCTCTTATTTAAGATTGCACTCCGAAAAACTATCTCATTGGTTTCAAATGAACACTAAAGTTGTTCTACACAATACTGCACTTTAAAGGGACTGTACGTGTAATTTGAAGTGAACCTCCATGCTAATATTGGCAATACCCGATTCATAACGGTCCCCATTTTCTGATCATTAATGGGGAAAATATTCTCTCTTTTCTAGGTTTAAAGGTATTTCTAATTAAAAATAATTCGTTTTCAAAATTATAAACATCTATATTTAATTCATACTTGATCAGACAAAGCTTTAATTACGAGTGTTGTTTGTAATCTTTGCATGGAGGGTCACTTTAAAATACGCTTACAGTCCCTTTAAGAACTATTTTTAAATAAAATAATGAGCAACAGCTGACTGTAGGTTTGAATTGAAATGTTAAGTCTGACAACTGTATATACGGTCTTAGTGATTATTCATTAACAACTACTTTCCCAAGGAACATCAGATTCATCAAACAAATTTGATATAATTTTGATATCTTTATTCGAAAATTAAATAATTTTGATATTTGTATTCCAAAACTTATTTAATTTTGATACTTGTATTCCAAAAAAGAATTAATTTTGATTTTTGTATTCCAAAAATTATTTAATTGTTATGTTTGTATTTTAATAATTAATTCATTTTTAATATTTGTATTTCAAAAATTTAGTTTATTTTTGATATTTGTATTTTAAAAATTTATTTATTTTTAATATTTGTATTCCAAATTTGACTTACTTTTAAGATTTGTATTCCAAAGTTAATTTTTATGTATCTTCATACTGCTGTGAATAATAGACATAAATTAATAAAAATGTGGAGGCTAATATATCTAAATCTCCGTTTATCCTACTTCCATTAATATAATTTATTCTATATTATAAAAGCTGAAATTTGAACGTAGTTTGTACGAGTTCCCAGATTCCATGTTTGTTTTCAAAATCAAGGTTCCTAAAGCAGAGGTAAGAAATAAAGATTCCTAAAGCAGAGGTAAGAAATAAAGATTCCTAAAGCAGAGGTAAGAAATCAAGATTCCTAACACAGAGGTAAGAAGTCAAGGTTCCTAAAGCAGAGGTAAGAAATCAAGGTTACTAACACTGAGATGAAAAATCAAGGTTCCTGACTCAGAGGTAAGAAATCAAGGTTCCTAACACAGAGGTAAGAAATCAAGGTTCCTAAAGCAGAGGTAAGAAGTCAAGGTTCCTAAAGCAGAGGTCAGAAATCAAGGTTCCTAACTCAGAGGTAAGAAATCAAGGTTACTAAAGTAGAGTAGAGGTAGAAAAATCAAGGTTACTAAAGCAGAGGTAAGAAATCAAGGTTCCTAAAACGTGTAAGAAAAACAAGGTGCCCAAAGTAGAGGTAAGAAATTAAGGTTCCTTGCCAGGCAAACTAAAGTAAAAAACATAAGTCAATATTTTGTTGGAATCCTCTTTTCTGAAATTATAGAGTACACATGTAAGCAAATTTTCTACTCTTCAAGATTTTAATCCTGTTTTTTTTGCTATGATATGTTACAAACATGCGCTACATATCTTGTTTCTAAGAAAGTATGCATTTAACATCTGTTAAAAAGAAGTATCTGCATATTCCGAGAGATTTAAAAAAAAATTAAGGTTTTCCCTTAGGATAAAGGTTATGTAGAAGCAGGACAAACTGTTTGTAACTCAGAGGGTTCAGGTAATAAAAATAATAATATTAATAATTATAATAATAATAATAATAATAATAATTTTGCATTCTTTTGATCAATAATCACCAAAGCATCACATGTTTTATGATTATTTTGATATTGTAAGAAAGTAGCCTGGACCTGGAGTACAGTGTAGGGGTGAGTATCCAAGTTGCCTCTCCTTGGGAATATACTCAATCTTCAAGGTATTTAACAGATTGTTTGATATTTTAGAGCTAGAACGTTTCATAGAAAGGACTTATCACAGGGAGTAAGGAATAGAAGGGAGATATAGCTGACGCGGTTCGCCCTACCATATATGATTACACATGGCTTTGCAGACGGTACTCCATTTGCATATGAAATATTCAGAAAAGGTTATTGTATACGCGGTTATTGTACATCAGACAAATATTTCTTATACAAATGGAGTACCCGTCTGTATAATCATATGGTAGGGTGAACCGCGTCAGTCAACCGCGTCCCTTCTATTCCTTATTCCCTGACATATCATAGATAGAACACTTCATAGAGAGGACATTTCATGGATAAGACATTTCAAAATTGGAAAATTTTGATCTTTAAATAAGCATAGTTTTTGAGTACGCAATACGCATGTCACTCGCCGGCCACACTCTCTATATGTAACACACAAAAGCTTGTTACATTGTGATTGGTCCCCAGGGAGTAAGGAATAGAAGGGAGATATAATTGACGCGGTTCTTCCTACCATATGATTAAACATGCTTTGCGGACGTTACTTCATTTGAATAAGAAATATTTGTGTGATGTACAATTACTGCGTATACAATAACCTTTTTTGAATATTTCTTATTCAAATGGAGTACCGTCTGCAAAGCATGTATAATCATATGGTAGGGAAGAACCGCGTCAGTTATATCTCCCTTCTATTCCTTACTCCCTGTTGGTATCCCTTTGGATCAGATCAAATCAATCATTTAGACGGTCGGGGAAAACAAAACCGCGAAATTTTGTTCTTCTCAAAACGTACAAATAAACAATTTTATCTACTTTTTAATTGTCATACATTATTTTTACCGCATTATTTTTGGCGCCGATTGAACAATAACTTGTATCAATTTCAAAAAAAAAATTATATATCTAGTTAAACTTGATTTCAGACACGAAAGAGAACTAACTTACATGCTATTTATGTGTCAGAGATTTGAAAAAAATATGTCTGAATTATACAACCAGATCTTAATGAAGTTTTTAAATTAGATAAAAATTATAAATCATTTTATATTTCTACTATTTTAATTCTACTGGAAAAAAAGTTTCGCGGATTTTTTCTGGCCCATGTGAATTACAAAAAAATTTTAAAATTTCTCAAAAACAATAAAGATACTTTATAAGAGAATTTCACGAAAAAAAATATTTGTTTTGAAAGAGAAGGAGGAGACCATGTGTATAATAATATTATATTTATAAATTTTATACAACATTTGGAGTCATGGCATCCAAATTTAATTAATATTTTGACGCACGACCTAAACACAATCACTGTAAATTAATGGATCAATTAATTTAAATATTAGTTAACATGTTGCCTTGAAATATATAAGAAAAGTGTGAGCAGAAGGCATGTGTAAGATTCCTACGGGGGGGGGGGGTCAATTTGTACTTTTTAAAAAAAATTTCCAAAAGTATTGGTCTGAGGCTGTTAAAGTTTTCTGACTTTTCCTAAATACCCATTGCCCTCTTTTCAGGTCTAAAACTGGGCTTTTATAATTACTGCCTGAGTCATCATCTAGCACCCTTGTTTCCTAGCACCCTTGTTTCCTAGCACCCTTGTTGCATAGCACCCTTGTAGCTTAGCACCCTGTTTCCTAGCACCCTTCTAGCCTAGCACCCTTGTTTCATAGCACCCTTGTTTCCTAGCACCCTTGTTGCATAGCACCCTTGTAGCTTAGCACCCTTGTTTCCTAGCACCCTTCTACCCTAGCACCCATGTTTCATAGCACCCTTGTTTCCTAGCACCCTTGTTGCATAGCACCCTTGTAGCTTAGCACCCTTGTTTCCTAGCACCCTTCTAGCCTAGCACCCTTGTTTCCTAGCACCCTTGTTTCCTAGCACCCTTGTTGCATAGCACCCTTGTTTCCTAACACCCTTGTTTTCTAGTACCCTTGTTTCCCAGCACCCTTGTTGCCTAGAACCCTTGTTTCCTAGCACCCTTGTTTCCTAGCACCCTTGTTGCCTAGCCCCCTTGTTTCCTAGCACCCTTGTTTCCTAGCACCCTTGTTTCCTAGCACCCTTGTTGCCTAGCCCCCTTGTTTCCTAGCACCCTTGTTTCCTAGCACCCTTGTTGCCTAGCCCCCTTGTTTCCTAGCACCCATGTTTCCTAGCACCCTTGCAGCCTAGCACACTTGTTGCCTAGCACCCCTGTTTCAACTTTCCGCTGTCTCACTGTAGCTTTCTTCTTAAATTCCGTTATCCAATCAGAGATCGAAAAAACAGTGAACAGAATCATTTACAGTACAGTGGTAGGCGACAATATCAATACAAAGGAGACGACTTTTTTATTTAAGTTTTGATTGTTCACAGGCTTTTGTAAGAAATTAAAGAGAATTTATTTTAATTGACAGCTTCTTTTGACCTCTATGTTTATGTGTATACATGCTGTTAAAGAGTTCGAAATTTGTCTTCATTGTATTGATTTAATCGCCTACCACTGAAGTAGTAATGAAACTACTGTTTTAAACATCTTCTACACTTGTGTCAGGTCTGAGCTGAGATCTGGGTTTGAGATTGATCTGCTTGGTACAGACTGGGAGGACGAGTTGGAGAATCCTGAGCTCTTCAGCTCAAACCAGACCCTGAGCACTATTGTTCCAACCCTGCCTGGACACAAGGTATAGTCTGCTTATACAAACCAGATCCTGAGCAATATTGTTCCAACCCTGCCTGGACACAAGGTTTAGTAAGCTTATCCAAACCAGACCCTGAGTATAATTGTTCCAACCCTGCCTGGACACAAGGTTTAGTAGGCTTATCCAAACCAGATCCTGAGCACTATTGTTCCAACCCTGCCTGGACACAAGGTTTAGTAAGCATATACAAACCAGACCCTGAGTATAATTGTTCCAACCCTGCCTGGACTCAAGGTTTAGTAGGCTTATATAAACCAGATCCTGAGTATCATTGTTCCAACCCTGCCTGGACTCAAGGTTTAGTAGGCTTATATAAACCAGATCCTGAGTATCATTGTTCCAACCCTGCCTGGACAAAAGGTTTAGTAGGCTTATACAATCCAGACCCTTAGTATAATTGTTCCAACCCTGCCTGGACACAAGGTTTATTAAGCTTATACAAATACGCACAAAAATTTAAAAGCTTCAAAATATGTTAACATTTCTTAAATAGTTTGTTACACGATTAGTTTTGCATTACAATCATGATTTCTAAGAATAAACACTTTTACATATGTCTATTATTATTCTAAAAACAAGAAAAAGAATAAAACAACTAGCTAGCTAAACGATTTTTATAAAGGTTCATACCGAATTTTTGTTTGCCCCAAACTCTGATTTTTTAATCCATGTATCTTTGCAACCCAATGTTGTATACCTTATGTTAAGGGTCTTTGGGGCAAGGACTCAATTCTTTCAGATAGAACTACCCTTTTATGTTTAAAATCTATATTTGAAGGGAACATGATTTCAAAAATACACTTTTTACGTTTTTTCAAAGAATTTATTTGTTTTAGACTGTTGCGTATCAGCTCCTAGGGTACTATGGTCCCTATAGAATTAGGGGCAGCACACTCAGATTGGTTCCCCTTCCCTGTTAGGAGCTCCTAAAAGAAGGGGCACCCTTTAAACAGGGACTCCCCCTCTCTGAGAACATCCTTTATGTGTGTGTTAAATACGAATAAAATATACTTTTAAAGAATAAAAGAAACTTTTTTATCGTCAACACATGCCGAGGATTAGAGATTAAGGAATAGAGATGAAAACCGTAGAAAAAAAGAAGAAACTAATCTCTGAATCAGACTATAGGTCAATCTGCGATGGATCCAAACCAGTTTTAGTATTTAAAGGGACTGAAAGCGCAATTTTAATTGACTCTCCGTTCCAAGATGCTAATTTCCGATTTACACAACAGTACCCTTAATAACTTATCTGATCAGGTATGAATTAGATATATACATGCTTTGTTTCTTTAAACTGTTGATTTAGCAAATACTTTTAGAATTTAATTAATTGCATTAAAAACATGCAACAATTCTGATCTCTGTATCGTAGAACAAATCTGAAATTGTCTAATTGAAATGGAAGCATTTGAGGAATTTGTAAAGGATGAAAGTGATGTCCCTCCCCGTCAGACTTCTAGACTGGGACACTGTCCACCTTTCCCTTTTTCCCCCTTTCCACCTTTCCCCTTTCCTCCTTTCCCATTTCCCTTTTCCTCCTTCCCCCTTTCCCCTTTTCCCTCTTACCCCCTTTACACCGTTCCCCCTTTCCTCCTTTCCTCCTTTCCCCTTTCCTCCTTTCCCCCTTTCCCCTTCCCCCTTTCCCCTTAAGGTTTTGCTTCTCTTTCTCTGCCAACTCTGTGGCAGCTTAGGTCAATAAAGAAAGGCGTTAAAGCCTTTGATGAAGTATATGTTGGGTATATTTGAGGTATAATACCCAGACAATAGTCAACCATTTGTTATGTTAAACCAGACTTACAAGCACATACAAATTTCGGGGCTCTGGGTGACGAAAAAAACCCTGAAAATCATGCAAATATACCAATTGTGTCCATTTCCACTGATTATTTCAAAACAACGTTTTAACTTTTAAGGGACTTTCGACCAAATTTCATTACTTTTAAAAGAGAATGAAAAACTTTTCCAGATTAAAACACGCAAGTTCTTCCTCATACAGGGTGTCCCAATAAACATGGAAATTGAGTGACAATTTTGATATCGTGTCTCTTAATTCCCATGTTTATTGGGACACCCTGTAATTGCTGAAATAAAGGTTTAAATAGCACCGTTGCGATTCGGACATTCATCTCTTTCAATGGGGGGGGGGGACTTGTTTTTGTCGATGATTCCTTTAAACTCCACTTCATTGAAAACTACGCTATTTTGCAGGAGTTTTATCAATTTCATAATAAAAATCCTCGTCAGAGACCATCTTATCTATATCTATTATATATGAAGTAGTAATCACTGTTTGATGTCTTGTATTTTCGATCATATCTCAGAAACCCGAAGACCGATTTGCCTCAAATTTTGATTGGGGAACTCGGGAGAACCACGGGATGTTTTAGCTTGGTTTTAAGATTTCCAAATTGAGTGGGTCAATTTTTACAGAGAAAACTAGTTAAACTCATAATTTAAGGCAATTTTGAGTAGCCGGGGCATCGCTGGGTTTAAAATCTAGTTACGGTAATTTCCTAGAGAACGAATTTTTGAAATTTGCTGAAAAATAAGTGGTCATGTACAAAATTAATAGGAGGGGGGGCATGGTGAGGGATGGGGGGGGGGTCCAAAAATCGTTCTCTAGGACAGACCCGGCCCTAGTTACATCATATTTTTGAGAAACTGGAAACTTGTGTCTGGACAGTAAAACCGTTGTGTGTTGAGTTGATACTTCAGGCTGGATGAAGATTAACTTAGAAAATATAAGACATTAAGGGCGCTTCTCGCCCATCTACTATTTCAACTTTTAATTATGGTTCTATCTGTATCTATCTATCTGTATCTGTAAGCATCTTCTCTTTGTACACTATAAAACGATAGCAAACAAAAAAATTCGCTGATTTAATCATATTTTTTTCGCGAATTTTCCTTGGGATCTCACGCGAAATTTGGGTCCGATCGGTTCAGCCGTTTTGACGTTTATTGGATAAGCATCTTCTCTTTGTTACAATTTGAAACAATAACAAAAAAGAGTTCGCAGATTTGATAATATTTTTTCGCAAATTTTCAAAATTTTACAAAAACAAAATTTTTTTAGCATCCATAAACCTGGGGTCGAGTAGAAATTTTGGCCGGATCGGTTCAGCCGTTTATTGGAAACAAAGGGACTAAAAGACAGACAGGCAAGCAAAGTATATATATAGATAGAGATAGATTTAAGACAAGATATTAACACATTTTTAAACATTAAAGAATGAATATAAATGTTACAATTTTTAGTTTTTTTAATTCTTTATTTACTTTTCTGACACTTCTTAATTTTGTTTTATCAAATTTGAATTTCAAGATTTAAGAAAATCCGTTAAAAATCATGAATATGTCTTTTTATCTAGGCAATCATGGTAAACGCCGGTTTGATTTTCTCATTCATAGATTTGCATAATATTTTATAGGCTTGCAGTTGGAGAAAGGGTCAAACAAAAGGTCATAGATAAATTTTTAGATAGAAAGACAGATACGTAGATGGGGAGTTAAATAAATCTTAAGTTTTATAAATAGATATGTTAAATAAATATTAAGATAGATAAATTAGTAATTAGATAAATTGACATATGCATAGAGAGTAAAATTAATTTTTAGTTTCATAAAAATAGATATGTTAAATAAATATATTATTTAATGAAACGATAGTTAGATGAATAGATAGAATTAGATAAATAGATAGTTTGTTAAATAGATAATTAGATAATTAGATAGTTAGACAAGTAGATGGAAAGGAAGATAGATCGAGAAATAGATAGATAGATAGATAGATAAGATAGATAGATAGATAGATATACCCTCCCAGACATACTAGACAGATATCTTTACAGATTGTGTAAGTATGAAAGGAAAGATATATTTAGAATTTAATGCTTTTTCTAAATCCGTCAATTTTCTGTCAAAATATAGAAGGTTTTAATCTAACTTTCTTTACCCTTGTAAAATACGAATGCAGGGTTACCCAGAACTCATGAGACTTTGAAGACGACCCAAGGGCGAATACAGGGGGGTGGGCAAGGGGAGCAGTGCCCCTCCTATACCTGTGCCCACCCACCCCCTTAGAACTTAGAGCTATCACACTTTTCAAATCTGAAACTGAAGAGTAAAGAGCATTTTTTTATGCTCTTTGCTGTTTTTTTCGGCTATTTTTGTCTTAAGGAGAGATAAAGTAATTGGACTGTATTTTTATCTTTAAAGTATCCAAGAAGACAAATGTTATGTATTTACAGTTCATATCCCCCCCCCTAGATTTATATCTGTAAACGCCCATGAGACGATCTGAAACTATTAAAATATGACGATCAAGTCTCCTGTCTTAGGTATAGGTATACAATTGTCTCTGCAGAAGTCTAATGAATTTTTTTGTCTGTAAGTTTATAGTTTGAATGAATTGCTACAGCTTCTATATATATCTTTATATAAAAAGTTGTAATCTCTGTTTTTCTGTCTGTTTGTTTTTCCGATCATAACTCGGGAACCCATGGACCAATTTGACTCAAATTTTGATTGAGAAACTTGTAAAAAACACAGGAATGTTCTTAGCTTGGTTTTCAGATTCTAAGTTGAGTGAGTCAACTTTAATAGCATAAATTTAGTTAACCGGTAAAATCGTTCAAGTGCGGGTAAACGGCGGGAGTCACTAGGAGTAACCTGGGTTCCCAAGCTATTAGATAATAACATTTATTTATTTATAATTATAATTTGAACAAATGACAACATGTAAGAAAACTAATGTGTAAAAATAAAACAAGACATTCGTATATGTTCCCTATATCCGGCCAAACGGCTGGACCGAATTGGCTGACATTTTTTGTGGACACTCATGGGTATCCTGGAGGTGACATAAGCCAAACAAATTGAATTTGATTTTAATTTGTGTATACAAAATCTATTAAACATCTAAAAGTGAATAATGTTTCCTTTAATATAGTATATATAATGTTGACTCTTTTGAGCCCTACCTATAATCAGTAGAATCTACTTAACATTAACCCATCCGGTCCAGGCCGTGGGAAATTGAATTCTAGAAGTTGGGCAAATAGATAGATAGATAGATAGATAGATAGATAGATAGATAGATAGATAGATAGATAGATAGATAGATAGATAGATAGATAGATAGATAGATAGATAGATAGATAGATAGATAGATAGATAGATAGATAGATAGATAGATAGATAGATAGATAGATAGATAGACAGATAGATAGATAGATAGATAGATAGATAGATAGATGATATATGGATAGATAAATAGATAGATAGATGTTTAGCTAGATAGATAGATAGATAGATAGATAGATAGATAGATAAAGGTTGTCCCAGAGATTTAAGCAACTGAAATATCATAGTTTTGAAATTTAACAAAATATTTGTCAAATTAATCTATTGCAGGAAAAATAGTTCAAATCCTAAACAAGAATATTTCGATAAAACGTTTCAAGCGTAGTTTCACCATTCTGAAAGGTTACCTACCTCAGAATTTTGAAATTCGTGGATACCTTTTTTGATACTCTTCAAAGTAAACCGAAAAGAGGTTAAGACATTTTTTCACAAGAGCTGAATTATGCATTCATGATTTTTAACACTTGTTGAAGATATACACGGGCAGCCATAGTACATTTGAATTTCCAAGCCGGGTCAACCTTTCCGGTCCGGGTTTGTACTGTACCGCACGGTTATTGGCTTAATTAAGCTTAAGCAGACAATCAGCAGGACTAGCCGCTGCAACAAGGTTGACGCGGTCAGACATCATGCTTCATATAGGTTAAATTTACTTTTACTAAAGAGGCAGAGGTGCGTGAACAGAAGGAAATCCAGTTATAATACAAAAGGTTTAAATGTAACCAGCATCATAGTTCTGTCTATAAATTCTCTCTAGAAATTGTCGACAGAATTTTTATCAAGGTAAATTTTTTAAATTATGACCATTCATAAAACTTCCCAGGGGTCATGTGAGTTCCAACAATAAAAATTGGGCCGGATGTAATCAGTTAACTGTTTTGTCGTTTATTGGATACAA